ACGTATGAATCTGATTTTTCACACGATGACAGCTAGCTGAGATGCAGTTTTTTGATAATTGAAGAACAAAATTTTCAAAGAAACAAAAAGCATCATCACACAGAGGGCATTTTCTTGATTTTTAATCCTGCTTTCGTGAATTTTTCACTCTAATCTCTTCAATCTTTCATGTTTTCTCGCAGAAAGGAGTTTCAGAGACCAACAGAAAAATTTTTTCATTCGCCAGTTTCCTGCGGATTGTCTGCACTTGCAATCAAGCATACTAAAATCTCGAAAATAACGCCATTCTGGAGAGGCAAAAAAGCAAATTTACTCTAACAGATTTTGGTTGCGAATGGGAACTTCGCCGATACAGGCCTTTGGGACAGGTTATTGACAAAGTTGATCGACTAGAGTTGATGATTTTCGAGAAACGTATATGCTTGATTGCAATTGCAGACAATCTTTTAGCAAACCCGAAAACTGGAAAATAATAAAAATTCGCCCTGTTCTTCTGTGCATTACTGCAACAAAGCACGACGGGAGAAAAAAGAAATTAGTGTAAAAGCTTCACAGCAGCATGATTGAAAAACAAATTTATTTTTCAATGGATTTTCAAAAGTTCACATCGCACCTGTAAAAACTCAGTTTCATACATCAATTCAGCTACAAATAACAGCATTTCCACAAAAACGAAAGGCTTTGGATCACTCTGCCTGTACTTTGGTTTAAACGCGTTTGCAAAACCACAGTTCAAAATCATCAACAAAAGTTGGGATCGTTTGTGGATCGAAAAACAAAAAAATGGTTCAATTTTCAAACAGGTTCTATTTAACAGAGCCTTCTGGCCCAAGCTAAATTTGGAGAAGTAGAAAAAAAGAAGTAATAAGAACAACACATGCGTCAAAAACAGGTCTCTTTAAAAACAAGCATTCCCGAGTCGAGATTTTTCAGCTAATTTGAAACAAGATTTGAGCGGTTTGAGCGGTTTTTTAGACAATTACGCTCAAAATCTCGCTTCAAAATGAGCGGTTTGAGCGGTTTTTGAACGGTTTATCTAAAAAAACCGCTCAAAAACCGCGCAAGATTTGAACGGTTTTGAGCGGTTTATCTAAAAAACCGATCAAAACCGTTCAAATCTTGCGCGGTTTTTTTAGATAAACCGTTCAAAAACCGCTCAAACCGCTCATTTTGAAGCAAGATTTTGAGCGTAATTGTCTAAAAAACCGTTCAAAAACCGCTCATTTTGAAGCAAGATTTTGAGCGTAATTGTCTAAAAAAACCGCACAAGCCGCTCAAATCTTACATATTTTCCAGTGGTTATTTTGCTCGAGCAATTGAAAAAAGTCGCTCACATTGTTTTTGGTCAAGACATCGAAAAAAATATTGCTTGTATGAGAACGGTTAAGCACTTTTTTTAATTTGTAGATAGTATTTCAACTGCATCTTAGCGTGGGTTGACCAAAATTGCTTATCCTACAATTTCCATATATGAAAAAAAGCTTGTCCAACAATTTTTTACTGTTTCATAGACTCAGAAAATTGTTTAAAAAACTCTAAGATAAGCGTTTTTTCATATATAGAAATTGTAGAATAAACATTTTTTCAGCTCGTTCGGAGAGATTCATGCCGGATAGATTCGTGCAACTTCTAAGTCTAATACCGATCATAATCTTAGTCTTATAACTCTTAGTCTCATTTGATTTAGAGTATACTGGTTTTGTTACGAGTCGGTCTCTTGGAGGAAGCAACTAAGTTGTAAGTTAAATTCAAATTGCTCTGGTGCTGAAATTACAAGTAATTTCAGCACTTACAAATAAGTGGGTTGTTAGTTTGATGGAGTGTGTTTGGTTAGTCTTAACTTTTTTATAGGGATAAAAATATCTTAATTATAACCAATTATAAATTAAAGTTTGGATCTGGTTCCACCCAACCGGGGTTTACAGAGTTTTTGTTCTTTTGACTTCTATCTGTAACCGAGGATGGATGATGATCGTTTGTATTTCGCGAGCGTCATCTCTATTCCGTCCTTGGAGGAAAAAGCTCTAGGAAACTGGAATTGTAGATGTCATACTGTCCTTCAACGATGACTGTGACCGCCAACAAAATCAATCTGATTTCCAAATGGTTTGATATGATCGTTTGTTCTTGTTCGGAGTTGAGAACTGTGTTTCGATCTTGTTTGGGAATGGCGTGAAGCTCGAGTTTAGAGGGAATGCCTTTGAGTTGTGGTTGTGGGCGGCATATCGGTTGTGTTTAGCCATTCTGTGGATTGAGTGTGATGGGGTCGTCGTAGTTTCTCGATGCTCGTCTTCGTGATTGTGTATGATCTATATTACTGCATTATATAATTTACATAAAAAAAATTTTTAGTTAGTTCTTCTTTTAGTTATGATTTTTTATTAGTTTTTATCACAAAAGCTTTAATTTAGTTCTGTTATTTTTAAAGAGTTACTCACACTTAAGTAGCTCTTGTCAACATTAAGGAGTGGGTCACAAAGCGTGGATTCTAGCACGGTGGGTTAGGCTGGCTATTAAGCATGCTCAGGACGTCCTCTTGTGGTGGGTTAGGCCAGGAGTGAGGGTATGTTTTCATGCTGGTTTTTTATGGGGTCCTATATTGTGTTAACCTTCCTTGTCGTGTTTGTTTCTGGTTTTTTCCTTTTGTTGTTTTAGTTGTGTCTTTTTCTCAAAAATCAAATTTTTCGGTTGGGTTTTGTCTTTCGACTTTTTGGTGTTTTATTCTTTCTTTCTTAGACTTATCAATAGTCTGCAAAAGAATAAATTATCTATTTTTTAAAGCTGGTTTAATCCGGTTTGGGTACCGTGGGTTTCCTTTTCATTGTCATGCTGTTAATTTGGGGTTTATGGTGTTTAGTAAGCTGCGTTAGTTAGTTTGGATTGTTATATAATTCCTTTCCAACCGGGTTGAAAGAAAGTTTGAAACTTGTTAAAATTAGTTTGAGTTGTTGTTAGGGAAAGTTAAAACTTGAAATCATTATTTTAAAAAGTTTGTCGTGGGCGAGCTGTGCGAGTATGGATAGAATTTTTGTGCAAGTGAAACGTCTTTAAAAGGTTAGTACTGCTTGCATTTGTATAAGTTTACTACTGAAATTTTTGAATCCACTGCTTTGTGGGGATTGAAATTATTAAATTATTTTCATTGTATTTAGATTTACTACATCGGGGAAAAGAATTTATAGATTAAGTTACTACTCTGGAGAAGAAATTTTACTGCATCATTCTTTGCGGTTTATTAATAGAAGTTTATAAGTTATGAAATGTTTGTAATGTTTTTTGGTTTTTTGTTTGTAGATGATCGTGATCTAAAGACTAAAGAAAAAGAAAAAACATCTAATAAAGAATGGTTAGTTTTTTCTCGAATTTGTTAGTTTTCAAATTATTGAATTCATACTTACTTAATCATCGGGAGGAATCCATGAGGTAAGATATCGTGTATAGCATCTGATGTTTTTAGTATGAAGTAGTGGCCAAAGTAATTGGAGTGCTTTAATGGTCTTTAGTTCTTCAGCGCCAAGAGAAAATTCGTGAGGTGTGTTCTGAATAAGGTTAAAAAGCTTGTGATTATACATAGTTTTGTGGATAATTTCTAAAATTGAAACTTTTACATTTCGTATAAATTCATGCGGGATAATTAGGGGTCGGGATTCTTCTACATTGAATGTCTTGGTTAGTGGACAAAATATATATATTTGGGTTATGGGGTCATAGTTACGGAGGATGCCTTGCAAATTAGTACTTTTAATGCAATATGAGAAGTTAGGGAAAAAAGGGTGATGTGTATTTAGAGTTAATAAATTGGTATCGATGATGGGGTTGTCGTGATGGTGTATGTAAGTCAAAGTGATTTTGTATGAGTTTATAGTAAGTGTAAGTATGTGTCTGTTTAGTTCTTAACATAATGTCGTGTGAACAGTGCAAATCTCGTTCTTTGGGAATGGGGAAGTGGAAGATTAGTGAAAAAGTTTCAATTTTTTCGTAAAATGATTCATAAGCTTGAATGTCAATAAGTGCTTCTGAAATGATGTGATCGTAATTTTATCTATTGAACTGAGTGTAAATTTTTCGGTTAGTTGCGGGTTAGCAAACTTGTCGTCGTCGACAAATTGATCTTGGTTGGGTCGGATGATATTATGGTCATAGTGCTCGATGGAATATTCGTTAGCTCGGGGTGCGGTGAACAATTTTTAATAGCTTTTTGTATCCTACGTGCGTAAATTGTCGAGGTGTTAGTGCTGTAGTTAGTCTGAAAAGGTCATTTTTATTTCTTTCTATTTCTTGCAGTGTGTTAATGAGTGGTAAACAAAAAGGTTTTGAGAAATGATAAAATGATGTGCAATGGAGTGTGGGAAATAACACATGCTCATCGACATAGTGGAGTTCTTCAGTGAGAGGGTCGGAGTGACTATATGTATATTGAGGGAAGAGGGGTAAAGAAAATTGGAGAAATTCGGTAGTTTTTGTATGGTCAGGATGGTTTATATAGTCGCGGGTTATTCCGGGTTTGGATGGAAACGCGTGATTGGGAATTTTTCTTTTGAAAGTTCTATATGCACGGTGAGTGGTGGATGATGATTGGGTTGATGTTGAGGATTGGGCTAAAGAAGGGGTATTATCTGAAAAAGGTGGGGGAGTTGGTGGGTTTGATGATGTTATGGCTGACGATAATTGATGAATAGTTAGGGTGTGAGGGTGTTGTACTTGTTGTTGTAGTTTTATTAGGTTGTTTAGTTCATATGAGATCTGCGTGTTATCTGGGGAATTGTTGTTGGAGCATTCATTCGTGAAGGAGAAATATGT